ATCACGTTATATAAATTTTCATTTATAGAGCTGTGATAGGATGACCGAAGATTCCTGTTTATGTCAAATGGCGAATGTTATGGGAATAGTTACTAGCATAAATTAATGGTGGTTTAGAGAGAACAGTAAATATGTGCTTGACTATACACAAAAAAATTTAAAAGAGCAAAATATAGAGTTCAAATGTCGGATTACTACCCTAAAAAGGATCATTATATTGAGATAAATATCGTAAAAGCTTCTCTTTTAACTCCCGTTGAGCTAACATAGCGAATATTGACACAACAGAATAAAAGCTATCATCAAACCACATGCCAGAACCGTCCGTCATGCATCGACCATCGAGTCCACCAAACAAGCTGCATCAATAGGTTTTTGGTGCTACACATCCATCCTTACGTCTTTCACTTGGGCTAGCCAAACCAAATAAGTCCAGAACACCCAAGTCCTAGTATGGAGAAAATAGATGCAACAAGAATGCCCAATCGACCAACCACAAGGCAGCAACCATCCACTATATTGGCTTCGGCGCTCTTTATATAATCTTTCTCATCCACCCATGTTTCTGGTTGGCTGGGCCATTTTAACGCACGGACGTAGGTGCTTGGTTGAGCTTGTCGTGATCCAATGTGTCTGCGCTCCTAAATCACGACAGGGTTGTTTTTCCTGCAGGTGAGTTTGTCATTGCCTTAGTTTTCAGCTTGCTTCTCTGAGCATGCGTTGGAGAAAGTTTTTGTACAAATGTTAGTTTAACGATTTTGCGTGTATACAATATGAGATTCTGAAACAGTTGGAACCTTCAGATGTTTTTTTGCGTGCCCTGGGTTTCTTTTTGTGCTTGCTATCATTTGATTGTTCTGGTCGAGTTATTTAATAATTCCTTAAACTTTGTTTCCAAAAGTGAATCCTGGGATGAGTATTTGCAACACCACTGATGTGTACACTGCAGCCTCTGTAATTGGTCAAGAACTCCAATTACTGATCGACGAACATGGTCCTGAGGATTTTGAATCTTTAATGGTTCGAATCATAAACGTGTTGGAGGAGCTGGAATTCTGCGTCTGTCAGTCAGCTGAAGATGAGCGTGAAATTGAGGAACTTCAAGAGCTGCATGATGCACTCAAAAAAGATAGGAATGAATCCGAGCTGCAGGACTTTGCATTGGTAATCTAAACTTGTAATTTAAACCAGCGATTGAGATGTTTTGCATATTTCGCCATTTAAAATCCGTCGGAATGTATGCATAATTATTCTCTTTATTGGCTCAGAATGCGTTAGTCATTTCTTTTAAACACTAATAGGACTTGGATCTTATGCAACAAAGTTGGTACAACGAAACTCAAAAGCTGATGGATCGGATTGCACTATTGGAAACTGAAAAACAGCGTCTGAAATACCAATTAGAGAACGCTGAAGAGGAAGCCGAAACCCACAGACCTCAACAGCCCCGCGTTTCCGACCTCGTGTCGGGTAAGATGTCGCACCAGCGTCCACCCAGCCTGCCTCTTAGGTCTGTTGAGGTAGATAAAATTATCGCGCAAACCGAAGAACGACTTCTGCTGGCACAGCAGGAAAGTGAGTTTAAGGCAAGTATTAATGCATGTTTATCGATAGCTTAATCTGTTAAGAAACTTTCAATTAATTTTTATGCTACCTGTGCGTAAAATGAAACGAGACGATATCTCACCTTCGTCGCGGTAGTCATGTGAACACGTTGTGGTACTTTTTTAACTAAACCATACTGTGTAATCTTCGTGTTTTCCAGAGTTATCAAATTTTGTCTGAAAGTTTTTAATATAACCTTATTCCTGGTCAAGGTAGTGCTGCCGATCTACAATTGATTTGCTTACTTAAAACTGGCCTGCTTAATCAGGCTCGAGAGATCAAAGAAACGAAGAAAGAAATTCTTTTCGTGGAGGCCTATTTGGATGCGGTAAGTTTTATTTTCAGATTCTCAACTCACCTCTCCTTTCTGGGGAGTAAAATTTAAGTCTTGGGGCTATTGCAACTGTAGGTATTTAATAATTCTTTTATTTAATCTGAAGGCACCTAATCATGTTTCCCCCGGAGTCCCATCCCCATCTCCACGTCCTGTTGTGTTGTAACTCGGCTCATGGGCTTTTTAGTTATTTCAATACTTAGTTGCGTCAAATTCATCGCCACGTTATCACGTGGTTTACATTAATATTTATTATGGAATCCCGTCTTCCCCGTTCTGCTTTGGTTCTTTGTTCCGATCACCAGATTTGTATATGTCACGCTTTTGCACAGGCTACATTGTCTTTAAGTCGTTAAAATCCGATAAGTAGTATTGTTTGAATTTAGGTGGGCTTAGCGTATTAACATATTCAAGCTTCATCCCCAAGAATTCTTACATTTACCCATGTTTTTCTGTAACCATTAAGCTAGGCTGAAGAAGAGGTCTGTCGCCTTGCGCGGGAGTCCGGTCAAAATATGGCTAAGAAGTTTTCAACTCCAATGAACCAACTTAACTCGGAACAGATGGAGTTAGAAACGCAATTGTGTATTTGTGAACGCGAGCTTGAGGAGCTCTCCCTTCTGATGGAGTGCATGCAGCAGGTGAGTTAAACCCTTAGTGTCAAATCTGAATAAACGTCCAGTGCAATTCGTCAAGTTTCCGCTTTACTGGTTCCATCTCTTTGCCCTCTTATATTGATGTTTTTCGCCTCTACGCGCAGTGAGCCTTTGACGATAAGTAACCTTTGCGGCACACCAAGCATCTTAAATAGATTGTGTAGATGAACTGTCGAAAATCTAATTACAACCACTTTGACTCATGGTACGTTCCAGGGTTCTAATTCATCTGTTTGCTTAGGTTTTGTACCTAAGCCTCGTTTACTGGCTGTTCTATAAGTCGGATCTATATAGTCTTGGTACTCGAAATTAAAAACACGGTTTAAACATTATTTACAAATTACAGCAATTCGTTCTAAATGGTGCTTAATAAATTGTACTTTGGCTTTCGGCTTGCTAGCGCAAGGAACTTGTTCTTCTTGATCATGAGTGCCACCAAAAATTTGGTAAACGACTGCGGTTAGGAGTTTAAGTACGTTGTCGTCTACGACTTTTCGGAATTTAACCGATTTTTACAGTTCTGGATAAATGAACTCGATTTTGGTAAGGAGTTTGTGGATCTAAAATGTGGTTTTTCCTACATTCACAAGAACATTTTATTGTGTAAAGTGGTAGTTCTGAATATTGCCCGTTGGTATGCTCGAAATTTGACTAGAGCTATCCGAGGTAATTTTGTGTGAAGTAAAGAGGGCCCTCAACCCATATTCCTATTACTTTAATGTTTTTTAAAACTGATTTCGCGCTAACTTGATGGTACTCAGGTTGAATCCCCAATGAGTCCGCCAATGCCATTGCACATTGCTCCCGGCCAGGGTCTCGAATCAGCTGAAACGACGCGAGACCGAGTGGACCAGGACAGTCTTCTCGCATTGGAGCAGTTGCGGAACTTGTTGTACAAACGTAACAATCTGCGTTGTCGCCTGATTGAATTGAAAGCCAGCTTGGATGCAATTTCGAAAAAGGCGAAAGAGTATGTGTCAACTAAGTTGAATGTTTGGTGTTTATGCCATAATAAATTAGGCTCTCATTTAAATCTAGGGAAACGCATTGTAGTTCAGCAAATATGAGTCATGATTGCTCAAAAGGCTTATTAACAAGTGATCCTGATTTTCTGTTTGCTTATACTAGTTTCCTGAACTTTTGGAACAACAAAATTCATGAATGCGTTTTTTTAATATTCCTCCCATAGAGAAGTTGTGTACGGCCCATTACCAAGAGAGCCATTGGATAAATTACGACCAGATTGCGTCCACGTAAAGCCTGGGATCAAGTCGCTGTAAGTTCCTGCTAATATGATTATGACCATTTGACGCCTCGGTCCTAATATAATATAACCGAGGTTTTAAGGGTTTCGCAATTATCGCCTTTTAGGTTCGTCGACCTTCTAAGGCGGATCTCAAAGTAGATGGTCTAATAGAGTGCATTTTCAATTTTTCTTGTCCTTCTGTTGTTCTGTTTTTCTTATTTCGTTGGCGTCAAATCACTTAAAACATCGTCGTCTGTGATAGTCCAGTTGTTGCATATTTATAAACATTAATTTTCGAGATCGAGTACTTAATTTGTTCCAATAAATGTGTTGCCTATTTGCATGGCTCGTCCTTCAGGTTATTGTTCTTTTTCAATAAACTGTTCACTTAATGGTAATTAGGATTAACGTCCGGCATTGCTCGCGCTTTACTTTTAGCCACCCCTCCGACGCATGAATTATCGGAAAATGTTAAATCGCTAAATGGTAAACAGTACAAGTCGGTACCTCAGCGTGTCCCAAAATGTCACGCGTTACCGATGGAAAAAAGTAAAGGTTTCAGCGCAAGTAGTGGATTCCCCTTGTTTGGCTCGTCAGCGTCTCCACAAGCAAGCTGTCAGGCAAAACAGTCCAATTTAGGTATAAGCTTGTGCAAATAGTTCTCGGGAATGTACGCTGATTAGATGTGTGCCATTTCATTCGTAAGCAATCGAAAGAACGACGCTAAATGCATAATTCCACCGGTCTTCAAGAATTGTAGATCCGGATTTAGTTACAACCGTCCCATAAAGCATTGATAAAATATGCTTAGTTGCCAAAGTCAAAAATATTTCTGTCATTCGTAAATGCTCATTTCTTTGTAATAACCTAATTCCGCAAAAGTTTAATTTGATCGAGATACACTCATCACAAAAGCCCAATCAAAGGAGGAGTCGAAAAATTATTTTATAATTATTTTGTGCTTTACAATCTCTGATCTTAATTTATTCAATTTATTATTTGTCACCCAACTAAGCAAGTGTAGACAATAAAGATTATAAATCACAGGCATTTTAGATATTTCAAACCTACCTTTGCATTAAAGTTTAACCCATGATTTTTTTGTTTAAGTTCACCAACTCGTCCTTCAAAATCAAGCGGTGGGTATGTTTTCAGGTAGTCTTCTTTTTGACCATTTAACGTTTTTCTTCCAGTCGCACACTTAAATGCTTAATCATCAGCCTTTTCATGCGGACCACCAAACAATACATGCAAGCTCTCCAGAAAATGGCATGTCCCATGATATGCATGGAATGAAAGTAAATTAGTTTTTGTAAACATTTTTCCCAGATGTACTTTAATACGGACTTACCGTTTCATCTTCTTTTTGGAAGCTGGCACATTGATACAGTATCAAGTATTTCGTTAAGTTATATTTAATTGTTTTTTAGAATTAGTAGGTGCCTGTGTGGGAGTTTTCCTTCTTGCTGTTTTATATGAAGGTCTAAAGGTATGTTCGTCGCCCGCTTTAAATTTCTATTTATTCTATTGGTGCTGTGAAAACCTGGTATGCCCGCAATCCTCATAAAGCTAGAATTTTTTTTATTAAACTTATATTCTTAACTTATTTTACACATTGGATCTACTTTCATTACTTTAGAGCATACGCGAACGCTTGTTGGTGCGTACGTTGAAAAAAAATAACGAAAATATACCTCACTTATCGTCAACATGCAATCACACCAATCACGCACATATGGAAGAGACAGGCGGACCTTCTACGCCTGCTGTAACCGATGAGTTGCAGGTTCCGTACGGAAACACAGTCTTTCCGTTAATTCGAAGAACCGGCGACGCGTGAGTCGTTATTTAATGGTAGTGGTAGCTGACCACAAACAAAAGTGTTTGTTTCTGCTTCATTCTTGCCCTTCTTTCAATCAGGAATGGCTGTATCTTTCCTTATTAATAGGTTGTCTTTTATATTATTATGTACCCTACACCTTTCACGTGACGACTTGTAAAAACATATGGCAAAAAAATAACAATACTATAAATGCGAATAATTTGTCTAAGTGTGTAGGAATAATGTTTTGTTTGAAACAGTCTTTATGAAACTTAGCTTTGTGGGGGAAATAGTTAATAACTGCATATATCTGGGTGGAAATTACGATCAGAATGTGGTCCAGTCCTAATTTCTGTGCTGGGCACGCATTCCTTTACTCGATCTGTGAAGAATTACCACATGTAGGATATTAACTTATTTAATGAAGGTTATTTTTAATTGAATTAAAATGCGCTCGCCTAATAGTGGTGTAGAGCCTCCTTACATGAATTTTAGCTCAATGGGGACACAGATCACAACCAGGTGACGTGATATTCTGCAATATGTAACTCCATAAAATTTTTATCCAATTGTTGGGCCTCTTTTACCGAGATGCATCTCGTAACTTCGTTACTTGTTAATCCTTCCGTTGTGTCATATAAGCCCATTGTATTTTATTCGGTGTCCAACACTTTCAACACCTCGCCGACTCCTAAGCATGAAGCTCACTTATCATAACCTTGAAATCTTTTCCTAACTTTTACCTAACTTCAAAAATTGCGACTAACTTCGGCCCAATGTTCCCCACTTTGATAAGGGTGGTTTTGAGGTAGTCTCGTAAGCAAACCTGTGATAAAACATCAAGTTACATTTTCAGTGGTTCTGAGCCACTAAGATAATCTCAAATCTACGAAAATACCGTCGGTCATAAAGAAGCCATTTATCCTATTGCTATAATTGCTTCAATTATAATCGGAGTATTCGCATATTTTCCACTTAAGTTCCACATGTCGATTTTCATGAAGTCAGGAAGTAACCTGTTAGCTCTTAAGTTTTTAAATTATTGCTCTCAGGATGAAATCATCGACATAGTTGCTATAGTCACGCCGCTAACAAGCAGTAAATATTTAGCGTCGAAGTGGACGGTTGCGCACAGGAATGTTAGTTGTGCAAAGTTATTTTTGTTACGTTAAACGCTAAAAATTTTAATTATCTTATTTAGAAGATATCAAAGAGGTTTAGTCACAAGCCATTGCGGTCTTACGTAGTACGTGTCTATCTTGATTCACAAAGATATCCCTTTACTGGCCGACATGGTCATCGTCACCGTGAAAATTCACAGCCTCACTTTAGGCTGGGGAAATTGAATTAAACTAAACAGTTATCTGGTAGTTCAATATCGCTTCCTCCAAGGCCTAACTCGTTAAAGTTTTGTTCTATCTCTGCCTCACAGGTGGGGTGGCTACTGTTCTCTTCAGCACCTCCTCCAGACGCTCCTGCATGTGCTCCAGCTTTTTATTTCCTACATGCTTATGCTGATTATCATGACTTATAATGTGTACGTGTGCGTCGCTCTCCTCGTCGGTGCGGGTCTCGGCTACTTTCTTTTCTTCCGTAATCAGTTTATCATCGTGGGAAATAAGGAATGCTGCCATTGAACACATCGATCAGTGTCTTTCACGCGTTTGCTCTCCCTCGTCGGTCAATCGTTGTACTGGTGCTGATTTCTTTCCTTATTTGCTATTATATATTAGGATGATAAGCCCTGGTGGGTGTTGACTATTATATTAAAAGTCTTTGTCAATTTCCTCTTGCATTACTGAATCCAGACCAATTTCCCAGACGTTGGTTGCCAGTCGTCGAACCTGGTGATAACAGCCATGAGCCCCACAGATCTGCTGTACAACCCAACTGTTATTCCTAGTCTTGAATCCTATTTGCGGCATCCCTTTACTTTTTTAATCAGGGTCTTAGTGGGTATTCCTGCCGAGTGCTCGTCGAAATTGTGTTTCTACAACGTTTCTCCATAATGCTCCCTTTCCTTAATAAACAACACGATAGCAGTGATAGTCCGCACATTGGGATCTGTGTTTTCTAGTACTGCCATATCTCCGTTCTTCGTCGGAACTAAGAGGAAACCTTGTTAAGTTTTGATAATGTATCTATAAACTCACGTTTTTGCAGATTTTTAGTTCGATTTAATAGTCCTGGGTTTTTGTTTTGGTCCCGATGGTGTTTAATGGTTGATATCGTTTTTCAACCTTGATCAGTTTAAATGTAACTGAGTGTATTCGACCCCAAGCCAATGAGAATTCGGTCCGTACAGAGGTTAGAAGGATTAAGGCAGCGTAGGCTCATGGCGCCAAACGACCAAGGATGCTCTGAGCAAAATTCTCATTGTAAATTACCTTCGGGCAGATAGCGGCGAATGGCTGGACTGGCTTCGTTCAGGTATCACAGATCGGGAGCCTAATTCCAGTTTGGGATCTTCTGTGGTGCGCTGCGCACGCTGTGGCATACCCGTTATGCAATGACGCAGCTGTTTATTCAATAATGTAGTCTTGTGCACGCGTAGTTGTGTTGAGGTAAGTTGATACGTATATTAAGCGACAAGTGTGTTTACCTTGGGGTTTCTAGGGGTTGGTCATTCCAAATTTTCACTGACCTGCGCAAACAACCAGTATCTGGTGATTGTCGGGGTCGACCAGATTCGCTGTGTGGTGCGGACGCTGGCCACTTTCCGGTTGTTATAACTACCATTTTTAACTGTCACCAGTTTTTCAGGAACTCTTGTAAAGGTGATATGAATTTATTTGCTGGTGAAAGGTAAAAAAGTAGGATCCAAATTAACGGTACTGCATACTGCCGGTGTGTCGCATTACTCGTAGTCTTAGAAAAGAGCATGCGGCACCTTACCATAAAGTCAATGGGATAGCTTATAGCATGCAAGAAAGCCAATTAAAATTACTCTATTGGTGATATCCAAGGCGTCCCAAAGATTTCTGGATGTTTGGGTTACGTTGAGGGGTTAATAGATGTCAGCCCCAATGGCCTGGTTAGGCACCACAACTGAGACTAGCACTCCAGGCTTGTTTTGACATTTCGTTTTTCCCGCAGTTAGCGAGCACATTTATCCGACCCCTTTTTCTAAATACTAGCTTGCCGCATAAACAATTTTGATTTGAATAAATGGTTTCATTTTTGTTTTGACGGACTTCCACCAATATTGGGAGTTTTCCTTTCATTGCCTCAACTAAGGAAAAAGAAACTAAGCATGATAAAATGGTCAGACAAGTTAAGAATATGTAACTGGACTTTACGGTTTTAGAATTATGGAGTTAGTCGTGGCTCGTGTGATCGTTCAATTACTTCTATTTATATCCTCAATTTTTACTACAACTGCATGCCAATTCCATGTGTGAACACACGAATCTGTTGTTTCTCGGGTAGTAAACAGTAAACTGCTGACCATTGTAGTTTTTTAGCATGAGAAATTTGAGCACTTATGAGCCCTGACAACAGTTTTGTACAGCGGGCAAAGTTCCTGACTGAGGAAACATTCGAAGACGACCAAATTCCTGTCTCATGTATTGTGGATGTCGCCAAAAGCGGCAGGTCTTTTTCCAACTAGCTTTATTTGCAAAAACAGATTGTATGACATCTTCTCTGTGCGGTTCGTTCTTTTCCACTATTTCAGGTAAATTAAGTTTTAACCCAGGTAGTGCTGGCAGCGCTCCCACCGTTTGAACCGACACAAACTAATTTGCACTATTAATAACATCATCGAAAATATTTGTGGCCTTTTGAAGATTGTGAGTTTCCAATAAAAATGGAAGGACTTAAAATTTTAAACATGACCAACTACTATAATATTCATCTCTGACTGGTAAAAGGTGTTCTGCATAAAATGATCTGACATCTGAAGTCAGAAGCAAAACAGAACCTCTCATTTGTCTGGTCAGATTGTGACATGAATTACGAGTAATAAAGCTAGCATTGGAAATATCTAGAAAAGCACCAGTGACTTCAGGCAAACCGTTACCATTCCGATAAAAAGCGATTCACCATAGGTAAAGTGCAATTTTAGACTTGACGTACAACAAGCATTACAAAACCCGCTAATATGCAGTGAAGTGATGCGTGCATGTGCTTGCACGAACTATCATTTGCATTCGCTGCATCAAGTAACATTGTTGTAACGAACCGCAATCAGACCATTCAAGCACCCTTGATTGTGGTTAGTTAATTGCTATACTTTGGTCACATCTTGCCTTGGCAGCGAAACTCACCCCTACCCAAAATGCAACTTCCAATTAAAATACTTTAGACAAAGTTCATGGTGTGTGTTATTTAAAGTCGAAACCGATATATTAACCTACATGTCTATCATGGGAAGTCGCTATTTGTAGACAAGCTGAATTAAAACCTACCGTGGAGTTGATAAAAATTCATTAATTGACCGTCCATTTACCGGCTCAAGTGCCATAAAAATGTTCTGAACTGGTGCGTTAGAAAAAAAATAAGGCGATTTCGGTTCCAAAAGACGCAATGTGCGCAACCTTTGGGAAGCATGCCTTTTAACATTTCGAAAATACTTCCAATCACACGCAGATCGAGCACTGCAGTGAAATCTGAAAAAATGACACCATAAACCCTTGTAAATAAGAGGAAATCTGGTCATCTTGCTACCCTGAACACTTCACGTGCTATATGGAGCCATTAACCTGACATCTGATTTATCCAGTCTGGTTCAGAGATAGCCATGTTGAAATTTGCCTCTAGCTCAGATGGCTCAGATTATCTACACAACTGACTTACAAAAGCCTTTTGATTGTATGCGACCCTCTGGAACTACATTCGGCACCCCAGCGTCATTTACCTCTCTTATTCCAAGTTTACGAAACCTTATGTGGTGATCACGTGGACCCCTTCGTAATCGCAGCCCTGACCGAGACCAGGTTTCAATTTGTTCCAAAATAAAACAAAATCACTGCCGATATGTGCAAAGAAATCCTTATCACTTGTTGGATGACGCACAAATTATTTGAATTTGGCGTTGTAAATACGTGCGACAACTGGAATCATATATTAATTACGCTTTACTTAAAACAACATTTTAAATACATAAATGGGCTTAACAAGAGTCTGCTTAAGGGGTTGGCAGCCACCGCAGATTAAACCAAGCCCTTTTAAAATCAACATTATTTGGAAATTTTAGTAAGAAATTGTGCTAAATAGCCTCTACACTCATCCTCATCGTAATCTTTTAGAACTCGTACTAATAATGTGCAGTTTTGAATTAAAGAATTTCCAGAGCAGAATCTCATAGATTGTGCACTAAGTTTTTTGAATAGTCTTAAAATGGTGTCAAGTATGCCACACCCAAGTTTTATTAGTTTTTTTGACCTATTCAGTAGACAAATTAGTAAGTTCCTGAAAGGCAAAAGGAGGATATCAAGACAGGGTAAGTGGCCGAAATGTTCGTAACACCACAATTCATAGATAATAGAGAATTACAGTGAATTTTACATCGTTTGGGTAGTAAATCATTGAGCATGGCATCTTGAAATTGTTGAAAGTTCCTAATTGACTTTATAGTCCCTTGAAATTAGTCGGCAGGTAGGAGTTTTAGGGGTTCCTATTGATGAAAAAGACTTTAAAAGTTAATTCTAGAGACTGGTCAGCTACGCCTAGTCTATAACATTTATGCTACAGACTAAATTTCACGGATCAAACATGGCAATAGCAGTGCCAAGATAAGAACCGTTAATAATGAAATTTTTTTAAATTTGGTGTGGCTTTTAACAGGCAAAGCGTGTCGATTAATTTTCATTCATTAGTATTACACTGCTTCAAAACAAATGCCTCTTAGAGTCTATGTCTTTCATTACAGGAAAATGAATTAATGAAAGGATTAACAAAGCAACGAAGGATTGACCAACTTTGTGGAAGAATTTTCGGTCGAGTCCATTTCCTCAAAATGAGTTAGTAGTAAAATTGCAATCTTGGATTTCAGGCAGACAAAGCAGACATTGAGTATGAATGAGAAGCACGACAGTCGCTACTTGTTTACGATGAGTGCATCAGGCCTTTTTTCGGTTGTCCAACAAGCACGGTTATATCACTACACGGACTTGTCTATGAAAACCAGACCTAAAAATTTCATGAAATAGAAAACACACTTAATCGCAATTAGAAGAATACGACACTGATGATTAATCATTGCCTTGTGATATTTGACAGCTAAACTGAAGACATCTATTGTGTGATTTTGAGCTAACCTTGACTTGACCTGTAGTAACTGGCGTCATGTACAGCCTCGTCATTCCATTTGACAACTAGGTATTCCAAATTATTGAATCGGTACAAGGTAATGTCCGATTACAAGTTTATTTTAAATTTAATACAACTTCTATTGAAATTGGAATAAATTCAGGAACGTGTCATCAAAATTATAATGTAAGACAAAATTACGAAAATTACTAACCAAAGCGCTCAAAGACTGATATTACCTATGCAGCCCATACTGTAGGGAAGACCGTATCCTGACAAACCCTAGAGACAGAGTTCTTGAGTTTAATGTCCTTTCTGCAAAACTGAAATCTGCCTAAGACAAACGTGGCTTAACGAAGACCAGATATGTGTATTTGTGCGCGCGTACATGGAATATTCGTGGTCACCTTTTGCTGTCATTGCGATACGGTGGATTTTAAACCGTCTGAACAGCAGATGTGAGATTGACATGTCATCATTTTCAACTAGGTGTGTCATCTCCACAGCTGCAATAACACTTATAAACTAAAAAGATGTAGGTGCACTTGAGTTCATACCACTTGTTGGCTTCAGTCCAACGCCATTTCAATGCCTCTCAAATCGGTGATGGCAACTACAGTTACAGTTAATTTGCTACTGGCTTCATGAAATTGAGATTGCAAGCAGCACTTCAAATCCAAGCCAAAAAACCCACTTTAATCTCGCCAACTTTCCTAAACTTTGCAGTGTCGCTTTGTTTCTATTTGGGACGAGTATGGAGTAGGCAATGGAGCTTTAACCAGTCACATCTTTCCGACAATAACAAGCACATAACTTATGTTAAGTAAAGTACTAGACAATTTACTTTAAACACGCAATACTCAGTTGCAACGTTCACTGGCATCACTTAATGTGGTGCTGTGGTTTCAAATGAAGCAGAATCAGTTCGCGTCCTAGGTATGCCTCATTGTTAGTTTAACTTTTAGCAGATCAATCTTGGAAATATGGGGAAACCATCCATAAAATTCCTGTTTTTCACAAAAGAAACATTCAAAGCATTATTCACTGGACTATACAAAATACTATTCGTTAAGATGGATGATGCACCTCACACTTGAACGCCAATCCATGAATATCAAGGCACCTTACCCCCCAGAACTTCACACAAGCACTTACTCTTGTGGTATATAGCCATAATTGCACAATTAAGTGAGTAGCTGTCGATCTAAGTGCAAAATAAGGGTGACCAGTAGATGCCAACCAGGTCAGAGATTTGCAACAATGAGTATGATTGGAAGTAGGCATAAGACCAAACATTTTTAAATGGGTTATAGTTATTTTTTAGTGTCAATGAGTATATGCATCAAGTTCTGAGGCGATAATTTGCTCATTTAACGGAGTGGTCGCAGTACCCACTTTCTCATGTTTGAAGTAAAGATGAGACAATTCCTTAATGCTCCTGTTCTGTCCAAATGAAGTAAATTTCTGTAGTCCTTCTGTCTGTGGCTCAATTATATCGAGTAGAGATTCTCAATAATACTGGGGTTCCATTGTTTTTCCTCCACCCACGCAGGTGACTGAACAGCGCCCTTCGCTTGCCATGCGGCAGGTCTATTTTTTGGCATTGCTTCCGTGAAGGTGATTGGTGGATGCTCAAACAAGCATGAACTTCGTCTTTTGAATAGAAGGGGGGGGCTGGCTATCTTTGGTCGAAAGGTATTTCCTGTCGGTGTGAATAGCACCGATGGGGCCAGAAGTATCTTCCATTTGGAATATTATGTAATGAAATTGTGAAATACTAATCTAGTTTGTCGTACCTGCCAGGAAAAACGTTTCGGGTTGCATGAACATTTGTGCTAAAACTCAAGGTGTGCTACAAAATGAAGCACTTCAATTGCACATTGATGTGTTGCATATAAACTAACTTTGAGTTCATAATATGTTACTTAAAAATACTCTAGTCACTAGGGGTAGTATAAAAGAGACTTCCATTCTTACTAAACTCATGCAGAAAAGAATCCCTGCTAGGAAACTTCATGCAGTCAATTAGAAAGTGCTGGAAGTGCACAAATGATTGAAAGTCACTCAGGATGTGGCACAGCTACTCTCGTGAAGTTAGGAGTTCATCAACAAAAGAATTGGTAAAGCTTTCTCTGGCCTAAAAACGTAAGGCATTTTCTCAGTTATTTAATGAATGCTTTTATAAATAATCAAAACACAAAGGGAAAATTTTTCGTATAAAGATCAAAACATTTGAGAAAAGTACCCCGACAAACAAGGCAGCGTAGAACTTTTTTGTCCTTTTTTAAGCCTCTGGGTAGTCATTTGGTTATTTGTATAAATAATTACCCACTACGCTGACAGTCAGACGTCCGCCTATGATATCAATCCCTTATTTTGTCTAAAAATGTTTAATATGGAAATCGGCGTTTGCTTTGACTGCTAACATACCATCAACACATCCCAATTGAGATTTGCATTCTATTTCAATAAGGCCACCACCAGGTTGGGGTCATAAAAAACAGAAAAATAAATGCAGCTTTTTTCTTCATTTTTATGTCAACAAAAAATTTAAGTTGATTTATGTCATATAAATCCTTCCTAATGTGGCTTTTTCAGTGTCCCTTTTGAATCGGTTTTATAGAAAATGAGTTTATTATGATTTCAGATGGAAAAGTAACATCTTTATATAACATTACTTTGTTCTTGTGCTATAATGTCAGTATCCGTTTTTCGTTGCTAAAAATATTCTGATTAATTAGATGGAAGCATATAAATACTTGGCAAATAGTCTTGTCACCGAATACTCAAGAAATCAAGCCATGTTAATAAATGTCCAATTTGGCACTCATTGAGTCACGCAATTCCAATTGAATTCTACGACATTTTCTCCCTAAATTTGCAGAGTTGACAACTAGCACTTGCACATTCGATTTAGGCTTGTTTAATAACTAATATACTAACCATACATTAAGTCCTTAACACCCTAACAATTCAAAAGAATTGGAGAAAGTTTCGATAAGGTTTGTTCAAAGCTCTGCGTCTTGAACAATAGGTATTCCTTTATATTACATGATCTAATACAAGAAATCAGATCCATAGCGAAATGATCTTAAAAGGGATGGACCAAAACAGGCTAATGGGCCTTCAGGTTCCATTGGCAACGTCTATAGAGGCCAATTTGTCCACCTGAACTGCAACGAAGGCATTTAGCAAGCCACTAGAGCCAACGCTTTACATGTAAACAAGCGTTTTGAAGTTTCAAAGGCTGCAGAATCCAGTTTTGAGTTTGTTAATTGAAATGTTCAAGTGCAATTAGGTCGCAGTTTGATTCCATCAATCATGAGTCCTACATACTATAACCCAGTCTTCTGCGTGCTACCCAATAAAACAAAATATTCTGGAATTTTACTAAAATCAACGGGAGGTATTGAATTAACTTCACAAAATTTTTGCCAAAAAATAACAAACTTCTTTTACAACTGTAGGGCTTGAATCAATAACCTTAGCCATTGGGCTGTGACAAGCAATAAATTTTCTCGTTACTACACTCCAAGGTGTAAGTGTTTATGTTGACACAAGAATTCAGCAACTTGATTGGTTTGAAAGAATACGAAATATGATATACCTGTATTGGTTGATAAATATTGATTAGATCGCTCCTATAGGTCATTAGATGCTCTCTTAAAAATATTGAAAAGTAAGAACGGTAAAATTGATCACAAACTGCATTTTCGTAAAAATGAAAATTTAGAATTTGAGCATATATTTAGGCCTTCAATTATACTTTTTACTAGAGCAGATAAACTTATGATTAAATTAAACTGAAAAGTAGACTAACGGGAACGTTGACAGAGTCTCCATGCGGTTAGTTAAGAGCCCCTACCTGGATACTTCAAAATGTCAGAGTATGTAAGTCTGGTAAATTGATTGGGGCATGCTACGCAATTAAAAATACTTGTCCAAAATAAAACACTTGGTTTAACATTTTCTTATTGGTTATATAAATGCCTCTATAGTGCCTTGACGAACTACAAGTTGCTACAGAGCTAACACGAAAAGTGTAATGGCCTGTTGGTGCTGTTGTGAAGTGTGATATTTCATGTCTGTTAGTATACTTATGTATGTTTAGTTACGTTAATACTTTTTTCTCTTGGTCATTCTTTTTATCCCGATGCCTCTATATTCTTATCTTTTATGCTGACACGTGATCATTCATCCTTGAGCATATACCTCCACTGTCAATATTACAATACAACGAGCAGATTGTAATACGCATTCTGCATCATTCAAATTCGAATAAATTGAATCCATCACCAGCCGTGTTCACCCTACGTACGTCCGCGACCCATACACATACACAGCTTTGCGTGCACAGGAATTTGACACCCAAATTACTGTTTGAGAGGATCCAATGACTGCTCGAGACGATCTATCGCCTTCACACATCATGCAAGTTATAGTGCAACAGCGTCTGAAATATAAAAATCCTTGCTTAACTTCAGGACTAGAAAATGGGCCTCTAAAAAGTGATGTTGTCGTGATTACTCTTTTTCAACTCGCTCCTACAACTTTGTCGTCTTATGAAGACTTCGCCAACCGCCTAGACCAAACAACAGAATTAAATAAATTATTTTGCTATACTTTTTTACTAAAATGCATACGAGTCAAACTGCATGTCAATAATTAGGTTTTAGTGTTGCACTCCATTACGTGATCTCTCAATTGAGGTTTACTTTAAACTGGCTTTTTAAGTTTCACCGCAAATGAATTGCGGGTTTCAACCAATTAACGGTTGGGTTGCACCGAAGTTATGTCCGGTAGATTGTCTCATGAAGTTGAAAACTTTTTTGCCGTACGCATTATTTTTTACTAGTTTACAACTTTAATAGGAAATCGATGCTATAACCACTTCAGGTGCTGGAGGTAAACAGCGGGTTGATTTTAAATATCCTTGAAATATATGCATTGGCTCTGTAACAGTGGGGTCCCAGTCAAATTTCCACCGAAATATAGCGGTATCTTTTTTGCGGAAAACTGTTTCTATCAATGGGCCGAAATCAAATTTCCGCAGCTGCTATTCTACTGGCCATTTAAATGTCTGACATATTTGGCTCGGAACTTTCTCACTTGCTTTATTTAGTAACCTACTACATAAGCAAATCACTAGTATTTCGCGACGTGTTATTGTGGCCATGCCTTAGGCTTATATGTGTTGTGGCCGGTTTGGTTGTTGCCGGTGCATGGACCTCATTTTACGAAGTGTACTGTTGCTTTCCCTTCCTGCTTTTTGCAGTTATTGACATGCTAAGACCTAGTTTTTGGCATCAAGACCTTCTTTAGTGCACTTATTGTGCGCATCATACAAGGCCATTTTTTTCTGAATGATTGGACAAATGCAGTACCAAGTCATGACGGTGTTATTTTAGTGTGAACACATATATTTACATACGGGTGCCAAAACCTGGCTGCTTTCACTGTAACACTGATTTGTCCGTTAGTTGGAAGCATTCAGAGATACTGCTGACTATTGGATATACCAACTGCCGGGCGTAACTCAAATGATCCGATTCCGAAAAGTCATTACATATTTTATTTCAGTTCCAACAACAAGCTGGATCGTGCAGGTAGATCCGAAGACAAATTTGCCCTTTTATTACAACTTTTTGACAAAAGAATCTACATGGGATATTCCTGACGATTACCAGGCCTATCTTGAAGCGTATGAGGTCTACCTTCAACGTAACAAAGGGAAGAAAAAAGACGATAGTGATATGATGACTCAAATTCACATAATGCCTGAAGGCAACGCTAGAAAGCGTCGTCGCATTAGGCGTGCTTGGATGCGTTCAGAAGAGGAAAGATCGATTTCAGGGGCTCATCATGAGAATGCACCCATCGAATTCTTGTCAGAATATATTGCTTATAGCAGCTCCTCTTCAGATAACGATTCCTCGTGTTCAAGGTCCCCTGATCGATCTAGATCCCCCGAGTCGATGGCGGACGTGAGCTCTGTGAAAAATGAAGAACCAGTGCCGCAACTTGAATCTGTTTTCATCGGACCTCAATTGCCTCCACCTCTCCAGAAGGAGTCTACTGTTACCAATCTCCATGACTTAAGTCAGCTCCTACTAGACAAGTTCGCCGTAGTCGACCCCGAGCACGACAAGTTATCTTCTCTTCAAGTTGCATATCTTCAATTTACTGTGAGTATATGAACTGTCTAAGGTCACCCATTCATTTCGTTTTCCACTCAACCGCAACGTTTGACTACACTTTTAGACGCGTTTAGAGGACTGGAAAGCTGGGTATCTGTCAGAAGAGCGCTATAAAGAAAAGTTACAAGAAGTTAATAACTTTCTCTGTGATTATGAGCAATCATCCCTTCCGTCCGGCTGGAGATGTGTGTGGGACCCGTAAGTAGGATTATTCTCATTTAACGTCTCCCTTGAAGTCAATTGCAATCACCACCTAATTGGTTTTAGTGAAAACAAGCGCTACATCTACAAATCATCTTCGTTTCCGTCCGAACAGTACCAACGGCCACCTGTAGAAACAAATAATGCGTGCCCAATTGAACCTACTTGCTCGATTCCTGTTTGTCAAACTTCAGTGCCTGAAAATGGACCCGACCCTGAAATTCATCTGAGTGAAAATGTAATCAATTATTTGAGCTTTTTAATAGTTGCTGGTGACTCTGAAATTGGGGTTTGATCTAAAATGACGTGCACTAAAAGCCAATTACCTGTGTTGGTATGGAGTTTGACTTACATTGATTGTTAAAGTCAAATTGTTTAATTGGTATGGTCCCTCTTGTAGATTGGAATGAATTTAACACAACTGAAGGGGGAAATCGAGCTAATTTGATCACTCTTTATTGATATTAATGCGTGGGGCCATTACTACTTTCAACGTTTTAGGACAATACGGATAACGTGAGACCTCAAGCAGATGATGCCACTCAAATGTATGAACCAACAGAACTGGATGGCCAGACAACATTGACGTTAGTGGACACCTCGGAGACTTTTCTTTGTTCCAACAGCCCTAAGTGTGACCTTGAGAGTGGCCGTTCAAACTCCGCTAAAACCCACGAAGCGACATCCAAGGACATTCAGGTAAATGTAGGAATACCATGAGCGAATGAGGCGTTTTCTTCCACAGCACCAAAATGCGCTGTCACATTTTAGAGTGAGACGATTGCTCCAGACGAATCGATGACTGATTCAGCAAGTGGTCAAGTTGACTTGGATTATGAATCAGGCGTACCCACAGAAATGGCTAATTCACCAGCAACGAAGTCAAAGAGGAAAATTCAAAAAATGGTACCGTTGGTCAATTCGTTGCTTACTTGATTTTCATTTTTCTTGTCAATATTAGCTCTAATTTTAGGACCCAAAATCAGAAGTTCTCGTGTCAAAGAAGGATATGCCGAATCTCCTCGACAAGTGGCAAAAAGTTCAAGAAAGTTTGTAGAGCAGAAGCAATACGTTCTTTGTTTTTTTTAAGAAGATGCATCCAAACTGATGTCCTCTTTTTGCAACTTGAGTACGTCTACCGAACCTCGCAATTGGCAAGCAACCTAGGCCTCAGGCGATTTAGAATTATCGATGGTTGGTGAACAAGGATAATTTTTCTAAATGAATGAAAGCTTCTATGGTGATCAGGTCTGTGTCGATTAGTTCAGTAAGTAGCCGACATAAAATCAGAATCAGGGTAATGTACCGCGCTTGCTGGGTCCTAAATAAATCAAGAGGAATAAGATAGCAGATTGGATGATGCACACAGCGCTCTGGATTCGTTAACAATGCACATTATTATAAATAATATAATAAAAACATACAGGAAAGGCTGTATACAAATGCGGGCCCCACATGACGGGTTGTTGGGCTAGGTAATTGTACAAAATCCGCAAACTGCAGGAAAGGGGGCAGAGATTTGAACAACGTTGCGGGGATGCAATGCTAGGCTATTGGATCAAGCTTCCGGTTAAATCCACCACGACGGTTCATGTACTGTCGGTATTTGCGCTTCTTTTGAATGTTTGCAACATACACGTTGTTGCCTCTTACGTGCTTACCTTTTGTAGAATCAAAACTAAAAAACCCTAGGGCTTTCATCATCTCCATTTCCTCTTCCGTTTTCGGAACTTTGTCTACGATGTTAGAGAAAAGCATTCTTAACTCACCTTCTTTTTCTTCGGTAGCCCCTCCCTCTGACCTGATGGGATAATCAATTAAATGTCTTAAAAGCTTACAACTTATCGGACTGTTCAGGAGTTCTAGATCTACTATCTCTCCAAGCTCTAGAGCCCCTTACATCCTTTTCACGGTACTCGTCAGAAAGTTCCCTATGCCTCCGATCCTTTCGTTTATCCGACGTGTGGTCGCGTCTATGATGGTCGTCTTCTCGGCGCGATTCCCTATCCCGTCGACGTCTTTCAGAATCTCGATCATATCTATCTCTGTGTTTGTCACGAGAACGTGACAAAGACCGCCGTCGTCCTTTAGATTATTACACAATATAGATGACCTACGAGAAAGAGGACTCCGCGAACGATCCCTTGGCATCGTATGCCAATACGAGCAGAGACCCACTAAGCTCAAGCTGACCGCCTCAATTTTTAAGCGGTTAAAACACTTTTTAATATTTTATGGGACATTTGTACGGTCTAATACTTGTAATATATTGCATCGTCTACGAACGTATGTAAACCAAATGATCTGTTGATAACTAAGGGTCAAATACCAGCCTTGCCATTGTTATTTTGTTGACGTTCGCACACGGATCTCAGCGATCTCCGCCTATTATCTAAATCCACTGTACAATAAATTTAACTGCTTGCAATCATGGTAAATACAATTTACATAGATAGTTTCGTGTATATTCTCAGATAAGTTCTACGGGGTTTGAAAAGATCCGGGTTTTTTGTGAGTAACTATGGGCTCTGATAGATATTTCATATTAAAATCCAAATGAACCGCTTAATTAAGTATTTAAATTTGTAGTCAATGTAGTTCATCAGAATATTTATGTAATAGGTGACAGAAAGACCGGAAGTCCTCAATTTTGGAAGTACGCAATGGATTAGGATTGGGTTAAATTTTTTTGAAACCTTTATGAGAGGTAGTAGGTGTGAAAGAGCTATTTACTCTCTTGTTTGTATTGGAACTTAAAATATTCCTTGGCTTCCCATTTTCAATGCTGACGCCGTGCTAGACATTTTTTTAAGTTGGGACTTTTGATAATGGCAGTGTTCGTGTTCAAGGTTCACGTGCGTAAAATTTAAAAAAAACATTGTAGCTGTCTTGTAAAATTTTTTTAAAAATATTTTTTATTTAACTTCCCACTAACTTTAAAAGACATTGAAGGAATGATAATAAACATTGCTGCGAGATTAGCATCTATTTATAAGAGTTTTTATCTACTTTATATGCTGTAGCATTGGGTAAGCAAGGCTAGAATTGTGAAAATTTAGAGTTAAAGAGGGGACGAATGAATCATTCCTGCAGAAAGATTATTTTATTTGGTCTTTTGGTTGAAACACAGAAATTCGTGCTTCCTTCTAAAATTACCTAGTGCGTTCGTGTTTTCGACCACCTTACAGTCTAATGGGCCAATTTGTTGTTCACGTTGATATGTGCTTATGATATTTCTGTTATTTGGATAAAGGAATATAAAATACAACTTTAAAAATTTTCTTAGGAAACCTTTAATTAAGTAAAGCCCTTATTTACAATATAACTCTTATAAGATAAAACAATCTCGTCATCAAGGCCGCTGTACTAGTTAATCTAGAAATGTATAGCTTTCTCTTCTCCAAATATGGCAATAATTGGTGTGCATTGCCTTACAGTCTTGTAAATGCAATAAAAGACCTATTATTAACAAAAAAAGTTGAAAGAATTACAAAGAATTATAAGCAGGATTCGTTATGTGTGCACCTATACACCATCAGAAAAGAAATCATATGAAGTGGAATTTAATTGCTGTTGGAGTAAGCCTGTCGAATAAAAAACCTTTTAGTTTGTTTATTAACTAAAGTTCTCTGTACAATGTTTTGGCGACATATTATGATTAGATTGCTTTGTATGTATCATCCAACCATCGGTTTCAAACGCCTTACTTTATGACTAAACGGTGACAGTTTGTTACTTGTCCGGTTTTTCTGCTTGGTTAACTGATTGTCACCGAATTTACATCTGATCTGTTAGGATTTGAACGTTTTAAGCGCTTATCAGATGCGATCTGGGTTGCAACAAGTTATTACAGACATTATAGAGGATGGACTAAAATCCCTCTTCAGAGACTAATAGTAATTCATTAGTTATGATACTGAGTACTTTAATTCTAGTTGGCTTAAGCATGGGGTTTTAAAATTATTCATAATTAATTTATGATAAGTGTGAAGGGTACAATGCACAATCAATATTCGATTATCCATTAAATTATGCACATCCCGAGAATTTTTGTGTTATAAACAAGGCTGAAGTCGCGGAAAGGTCAAATTTAATTTAGAAATGGTTTGCCTCGGTGAAATTTTATGTATCTCTCCTTGGAAGGAAACGTTCCTAACGAAGAGTTGTGTCCAGACTTGGACGATTTGTGATACCAAAAAGGCCAAATGCTACATAAATAAGTATTTTGTGTGGTTTAATGTAAAACTGGATGTACCATAGCAAATTACGTTTAATTCGACGCAAAAATTAAGAAGAGTGCAACTTTTGCACGACTAGAAGCACTTGAAATAAACATGGTTTAAAGGAGATATATGCTAATGCGAGCTTCCCATATATTCAGAGATCCCTTTTGTAGTCTATTAAGGTGATTTTTTCAAGTAGCCTGCACCTTTGCAAAGTGCCGTTGGGCCAGCCAAAATCTACACCTACAGAATTTACTTTAAAAAAAATCACAAACACCAGTTGTAACACAAGCAACCTCCAGTAAAATTTTGAATATTCACTGTTGTGCCTTCTATGGCCTTGGTACCTAAAATGAATCAAGCACATTTACAAATCTCTGCAGAAAAGCAAAATTTGGCGATACTTGTTGAACATAACCCTTTACGTGTTACGTTTTTCGATTTTGTAAACTACATTCGACTTTAATAATATACAAATTGGCAGGGATCATCCCAACTGTATTTATTTTAAACTAATCACACAAAGCGTCAGGAAACTGTATTCCAAGTTTCAAAATTACCACGTCATCAATAAGCATTGAAAATTAAAGAATTAGTAGTATAAGCTCGAACACTTTAATTTACTCTGAAACTAACATGCATTTAAGTCCGAGTCTGCGAACTTGTCCGAATATTGCAAAACTTTCATCAAGTAACAAGTAATTGCATTTAATCTTGATTCTATCTTTAGTCCAGCACGCCAGCATGTGGAAAAAGGCCTGTTCATGTAACAATCTAACACGGGAAAAGGCGGGCCCAAACACTTTCTGAGGAGCTTACAGCATGGAGAGAGAATCCAGCATGCAGTTTGATTTGACTACTGCCACAGATGAACTCAGTTTGTAAGCAGTTCAAAGGGCACGAGCAGAAAGTAGAGGTTGGAAACAGTGGACACGATTATTTATTCGCCAAGGGGTAAAGCTGAAATGTAACATCTTGCATCTTACGGTCCCAGTGTACGAGAATCAAATATCCTCGCCCTGATCACCAACGCGAATAGATGGCTTTAGGGTTTACGGAGTAGTAATCGATAGCCGGCACAAACAAGAGTGCCTGAATTCCCCACGAATGACAATTAAAAGACAATCTGCCACAACTTTTTATGGCGTAGAACTTAGGTGTATTTTTAGTTATCCAGCTTTGTCCGATTGTGATCAAACAAATAAAAATAAGGCTTTTTGCCCTTGAATGATGTATTGCAGGTAAGGGATTACAATGTGGTCTTTTGTATGATTATAAAATAAAATAGCTTTCTTTTCATTTACATTTTATTTATTAATTGGTGTTCAGGTTTATCAAGGCCACCCTGTAACGCCAAATATGGTCTGTATATACATATTGGAGCGAAAAGTTACGGATAGGCGGGTTTGTGTGAGTCATTTTAAACTTAATTAATAGAGGATGTTTCAAAATCCACCAACTTGCGAATTTTCTTTGCTATTAAAGAACATGAAAAGATTTTGGGTGACTGTGAACCCTGAATTAGACGTGTTAACATTCATGCAAGGGAGCAGTGTTGATCCAATGGAAGCTGGAATTAAAGAAAATTTGGTGCAGTCATGAAGAGACGAATCAACCTCGAACGCATAGAGACCTAATGCAGAAACCCAGATGTGAAGGCCACTATAAAAGCCTGCAATAGAGATGGAAAACTCATCACAAAAGACGCCACATCAAGCGATTCACTCAAGTGAAACTAAAAATATTACATTTGTGACAATCGAAATTCCAACAATAAATTTAAGTATCCAGAACCAGACGCCAATGGACTTCGCACGTTGTGCCACTGGCCGACTAGTGGAACAGACTAGTTTTTGTGCATCGATGCGAATTTCCAGGCAATTGCTCAAAAGACTGAACAAAGGCGCAAGAGGCATGGCTGCCGCAAACAGTGACAAAGCCAAACTCGATGATTTTAGTAGAAAAAAATAATTTAGCTTTCTTGATCTCCTGACTCGGACTATCTCTTTACATGCAATTGGCACGCCATAGTCCCCCACTATACAGGAATTGCTAATCCGCATACGTAACGAGTCACCTATTATTATATGTATAAAGCATCGAATCGAATCTTATAAATTTGCAAGAAGTTTTTCTATAAAAATGCTGTAGTAACCAAGAGGCGAATGTAGCAAATAAATTGAACATACGTGTGACTTTTTAGCTTTACTGCTCTCACCCTTGTTAATTGGGCCTTTCAACAGACAAGATGCATGATTTCTTTCTCATTCCCCCTCTAGTCACATTGTGGTCATAACCAAGCGCTTTTTGTGGTGCGAAATTGCAATATTTTAGTCATTAGATTAACGAGAGATATTGGCAACCGAAACTGCAAAGGCTAACATGGCAGAAATGAAGATTTGCAGGACTAAGTTTGAAAATATTTTTATGGTCAGCACTGGCTTAACCAATTCGAGATATTCATAGAACAGGCTTTAATTAACGACAAGTTTATAATCTTCCACGTCCTGGCTTTTGGTGGCAAGACTCCCCTTAATGCCTTTTGGGTTGAATATTCGTATTCCAGCTAATTTCACATGAAACCACGATTTCACCTTCCCTTGATAAACACGGGCAAGCAATTTATGCGGTATTTGAGGTAGGCGTAATTTACTTAATTACGGAATGCTTTGCAAAGTTGCACTTGGCATAGCTAAAGCGTGAGCCAATAGTATCGTGAGGGCAGACTCAAGCTTGACTCAAAACATGACGTGCCACTCACTAAATAATTATTTTCTGGGGGTTGTTAACTATTTGTTTGCCAACCATTATTAAGAGAAGTTGCTGGGCTAATTCCACAGGACATCCACCCGCGGCACAGGCCTCATTTCGTAATCCGAGAAAAGTGGCAAGAGCCCCTGGATGGTCGATGAATCTTAGGATGCGGAG